AAGCACTGTATTGCTTTTTATCAGTGACCTATAACAACTCTTCACAGTTTGTACTATAAGTCTTTAACCTGTTGCATGAGGGTAAAGGCTTCCACAACATACCTTCAGCAAAACCACCAGGATTCTAAGACTGTTGCATGCCTGAAGTATACTATAAAATGTACAGGGAAGCAAGCATCCATTTCCACTCAATAAACTGCAGGTTTCCCTTAGTGCCCTCGTGGATGTGATTGCCAACTCCAGTTTCATGCGCAGCACATTGTAAACAACTAAAGAAAATGGCTCTAAATAAAATGGTATTCTTGGTCAGGTGTTGCCAAGGGGCAGCAAAGAACAGTGGTTACACAGATTGCATCACAGACATCTGTCCTTGCCAGTAGGCGAGCAAAGGTTGGTTGTGAAACTCTGCATTGCAGCATTAAAAGAATCTTCCTAATAGATCTAATTTCCACGTGGTTCTTCAGTGCTTAAGAAGTTCAGTCAATGTTTGGTCTTCAGCACACTCCTGCTGCTGTCCAGGGATGTTGGGCAATTCCAAACCATCTGTTTGTTACTGTTTTCTTTCTAAGGGTCATTGTTCAAAGAAATAAGCTTAAGTGGACCTCCAGGGTTCAAAAAGTTGCTTATCTAGGCTGTCCCATTGCTATTTGACTTGAAATGAACAAAAGTAGATAACATAAAGTGCCTGGATTCTGCAAGTTGAACTGCTGCCCCTACTGCTGTGCAAAGAGGTCTCGAGTTCTCATCTTTGATGTCACTCGCAGTTAATGAATTTGCTGGGAAGACTGTTAGCGAATCACTGTGCTAGGGCACTCTGCACCTAATGACTCTCACTAGTGTGTAGTTCTAGAAGTCTTTTAGAAAGGATTTTGCAGAAAAGAGCACTTATAAGAAGGGAAGAAAATAAAGTAATTTAAGATTTTGTTCGATAGCGAACCATCTTCATATTTGATATTATACTCTAGTAGTCCAGAAAATTTGTCCTTAGTTACATGGGCAGGTTTTTTCATTCTTTTGAGGCTTCATGATTTCTTGGACTGTGTTTCTCATGCCTACTAGGCTCTCATGGTTTAAATGTGAAGTACTAAGCAAAGTATTATTGCTGGATGTTGAAGTCCACCCTTCTTCAAAAGTTGTTTTTCTCTAAAATTATCTGAAAAATTGTGAGGCCATTCCATTCAGTTCCACACCAGCTGAGGCGTACCAGGAGAAGTTGCCAGATAGACAGGCTTCTTGCCAAACCAAAGACAAATAAAATGGTATTCTGGTTCAGCATTTTCTTTTGCTCCATACCCCATGACGCCTATGATTACGAAATTCAACAACAATATTTTGAAGGAAATAATTCTTCCTATATCTATTAAAAAAAACAAGTGGGACAAAAATCTGATGTTGAAAAAGGTCTGTCAAGTAGCTGGTGGAGAATGGGACTATTAAGACTCTTTGAATTAGACAAAGGGTAGAGATACTGTGGAGTTCATGATGATTTAATACACCCAAATTCTTCACAACACTTACGCCTCCTCTTCTTTCCTTTTGTATCTCACAAAAGCACCAGCTCAAGTCCTTGCACTCCACTTATTTAAATTTAAATAATTTTTTGGAAAGACAAATTCTTCTGAAGCTTCTTGCGATGGGACTATTAAAATAGAGAAATTTAACTATGTGGTGTAAGCACACACCTTCTGCATCTAATACTAAGGCCAATGTAATTTGATGACGTCACATTTCCTGACGAGAGATGGTGGCCAGGATGCTGAAAAGAATGGACATTCCCTTGGAACAGATTTAGCAATCTGATTTAACTACTGGGCAGGCACCTAAACCAGTGCCCGTTCAACATGATAGATGAATTAGACAGTAAATCCTGAAACTGTAATTTCTCATTTGTCTTTGGATTCTGAGAACCTTGTTTGAAGCCTTTTCAATGCTACTGCATTGCAGAGCATGAGTACTTAGCCTTGGAAAATACTGCTGATGGGATACTTCTGTCCTTCATTTGGAATGGGCTCATCTCCAAGCCATGGAGTACGTCACCATCGTTGGGATCCAGCGTCTCTGTGCCATTCAACATTTAGCAACTCTGTTAAAAGCCAAACAGAGGGCTGGGAACCAGTTTTCTCAAGGGAAAAAATGTCCTTTCATTGTTGGGCTTTCTCTGTGCCTGGGCATGTTAGATTTCACTATTAATCCTGACACAGACCTCATACTCAAAACATGTCTAAATAAAACCCTCATAATAAATCAGGATTTATTATTCTAATCTCATTTAGGTCATACAGTGGCGTAAACCAGTACAAATGAAGGGCCTTAACCCATAATCCTTAAGGCAGCCAAAGCTTCCATTGGCTTCACATAAAGTAATGCCTACGCATCAAGGGCAGGAACTCACCGCGCAATCAGAGTAATGAAAAGCAAGAAAAGAATGGTTTCATGGTTTCAGCCCATACTTGACCATAAGAAAATTTTCTAAAACAATTAAGTATGTTACTCAGTGAATAGAAGATTGAAAGAGACACAGCCTGAAAATGGAAGCATTAAAACATCACTGCCTCTGTGTCCTTTCCGAACTTTATCTCTATTAGGGTGGTTAAACATAGATTTCAGGCTCTCCTGCAGACTTTTCCATTGCGCAACATGCAATAGGAGCAGTCTCAAGCTTGGAGTTGCAGTCTGTATTCCAGACTGGTAAGAAAATCTTGGACACCCTGACATTTATGTCTATGATGCATGTTCCTTGGTTTTTAAAGCAAGACTCAGTAAACTGAGATCTAAGAATAAAAAGAACTGAAAATGATTTGTTGCTTTTCACTGTTTAAATCATTCTTTGCAGCTTTCAGTTTCCTGGATGCCTCCATAATCCAGAAAGATGCTTTGAATCTGTGCTGGCTCAAGTAGAATATATCCTCTCCTTTGCTAGCCTTCTCTGCTTTTTTGACTTAGGATTTACCACCTTCTTTGCACCCATCCCCACCCCCCACTGGAAAAACCCATTAAAAAGGAACTAAAGCAGTTAGGCATTTCCCTTCAGTGGGAATTCCCTTAGATAGGTCAGTCAGCTGTGTATGAGCTGACTGGAAAAAGGAGGTGGATTAAATGCGGACCGATAACAGAGGGTGAGGTGGATTTGAGTGCTAAAGATCACTTGGCCCTCTGTCCAGAGGTTTCATATTATCTATGACACTTTCTGGCAGGAAACACGTCTTCTCTTCACAAGAGTTTTGATGGGTAAATAATAAAAGTCCATTTGAAAAGGGATGATTTTAGCCACATCCAGTAAAGGGAGTTAATTCATTTTCTTCCCTTGGCTTCTGATACTTAGATAACATGAAGCATCTGGCTCATAGCTAATAAAGCCCTAAATGTTAGAAATCACCTGCTTCAGCTCTGATTATCTGTTCGTTCAAGCAGCTGAGAATTCATCTGTGGAAGCAAAAAAGTCCAGAATTTTTCTTAAGCCTTCTCAGGTAAACGAGACCTCTGAAGGGCCACTGCAGAAACTTGTCAGCTCTTGGGTTGTCCTTGGAGTAGCGATGAAGACATTTTTATTAGTGAGGGACTCCAGTCTGCCCTTTCTGGGATAAAAAACAGGATGGAAAGCGGTAGCCACCGTAGCGGGTAGCAAAGGATTGTGACTGCAAGGTGATGTAACTATGCAGAGGAACAGAGAATTCCTGAAATATGTGTCAAATTTACAGCTCGGAGTTGAATTCCTACAGGATCAGTTTTCTTTGATCATTACTGAATCTACATTTTAGCACATCTCGAAAGACCTGAAATACATTTGTAAATCCTGGGCTAAAACCAAGTAGTAAACAAACCTTCATAGAAAATTTGCATTCAATATTGAACACATAAGATTCAGACAACAGCACCCTGTTCTATCATTTGTATGTTGCATTCCATGTTTTTACACGTGCGTTTGTGCTGTTACTTTCCTGCTGCCATATGACTTGTCCAAGCTCTCAGCCTACACCTGAGGGCAAAGGACTCTGGTAGCTCCTCCAGGTTCAATTAGAGGACCGGGAGAGAGCTGGCACCTCATCTGTCAGGGCAGCAGGGTGTCATCTACAGCCCCCCAGATCGTGCTGCGTCCTCACCCCCTCCGAGGTGCATCTCTGTCAGCAGAAAGGAGGTGAAGACAGTACGGGAGTCTTCACCTCGATCCACCGTCCCTCCATCCGCGTGTGCCGGCAGGCAGGGACAGGGAGGGCTGACTCAGAGCCCCCCACCAGCCGCCCCGCTTTGCGAGCCGCCACGACACCAAAGCCGTCTCGTCCCGATGTGCGGGGCCACGGGGAGAGGCGGAGGCACAAGGACAGCCCCGGGCCCCTAGGAGAACGAGAGGGAATGAGAGGGAGCGCTGAGGCGGGTCCTGCGCGACCCTTCCTCTCAGGCAGGGCAGGCAGAGCCACCACCCTCCCAGCCTGTCCCGCCGGTACCACCGCGCCCCCTCGTGGAAAATGAGAAATGGGAAGGAATGGTTTTACCAGCTCCTTCTGGATGGGTTTAAATTCTGGGTTTGTTAGCGTATTTGGGGTTTTTTTTTCTTTTTTCTTTTTTTTTCCTACTGATCATTTGAGATGGACACAAAGATTGAAGCTGCTTGCTTTCCTTTGCAGCTCTGAAGGTATCAGCTTTTCTGTACTGCCTGCCTGTGAAGATGCCTGTTTTCTCCATAAAGCTCCCCTGGAAGAGAAACAGAGGTTGTTACATAGGTTCATGTCCCTTAGCCAGCTGCATTTAGCCAGGCAGTTTCCTGTCCCGACCAGTAGCTTTTCTGTATTCGCCCCTGTTGCAAAGCATTAACCAGCATTGTCCTGATTGCTTCTGCAGTGTTTTACTTGGTTATGAACTGTGCCTCAGTAGCAGAAATCAATTGTGCTTTGTCTCCTCTTCCTTTACATCAGTAACATACAATTATGTGAAACACAATAGTAGCTGGCTTAACAAAATGTTGGTTTTACTGGGGGAAAAGTGACAAGTACATATTGCATGTTCATAAATGGAACTGCCTTTGCTTCTAAGACACTGAGAGATGACAGTTTCACGAATGCAATAATCATGCCAACTGCTTATGTTTGTTTTTACCGTGCAGAACATTAAATGCATGAGACTTCAAATGGACCAGCTGAAAAAATTGCTCTAGTGGGTGGAGCAGAGCAGAGAACTGTAAAAGTGTAAAAAAAAAGAAAAAAGAAAAAGAGGAAAAGAGAAAGTTTGAAGAAACAGAGCTGCAGATGTTATTACAGGAACGACATTAAAGAAAAACTCTGCTTGGAGACAGCATGTGCTACCTCTCAGTCTTTGGGGTATTTTTGTAAAATTCTCACAAGCAAGTTGTTTGATGATATCATCATGTGGATAGCAAAACCTTTGTCTTTCTCATTCCTTTTTATAAACCTATTTCTATGTAAGTTTATTATATTAAATAAGCATCCAAGCCACTGTTGTGGTTTAACCCCAGCAAGCAGCTAATCAACATTATTATACCAAATCCAAAAAAACCCACTGTATCAGCTGAGAAGAAAATTAACTCTATCCCAATCAAAACCAGGACAACTACAAACATGATTTCTTAATAATCATATTTGGCAATACATTTACAATAAATCATAACTGTAAAAGAAAAAATACAGTGGGTCACTATATTAATATTAACCCTTAATATATTAGTAAATATAAATATAATTGAAGTTATACCTAGATAATAATTTATAATATTCAAGTATTCAGTAATAAGATATTAACTATTTAAAGATTAGGACATGGTGGAATTAAGGTTTTCAATGCAAGTTTTATTTGAAGACATTTTGTGGTTTTACCTTTAGTGATTGTTTTTCCCCCAGGATCCATACTTCAGAATGGTAGTGCAATAAGTGTTGTAGGAGGAACCAGAGTTGTTAAGAAGCAATATGGTTGCTTGTAGGGTGTAAGATATTTGCGAATTGACATTTGGTAAAATAAGGGTTTGTGTCAGGTCATATCAGCTCTTTGTAAGTACAGGGTGAGGAAAGCTGAGGTATTTTGCAGAGAAGAGAGTGTAGAAACTATCCAGTAGTACATGCTGTGAAAGGAAGAGGAATAAAATGATTTAACAGCTGGGATGGAGGGCAGGGAGAAAGTATTTATCCTGGACATACTTCTATTACCTCCAGCTGTTCTGACTGTAGTTTATTTTGAATGAAAATCCAGTATAGTACAATGGCAAGTTTCCAATCCCCTTCTAGAACAGACAAAATTACAGCAAAATTCCTTCAACCATTTTTGCTATTAAAATGTTTTAAGAGTTGTGTACCTATGTGCAGGTGTATTTGCTTCATTTTAACTATGCCATTGCAGATGTTATCTGTATGTTTCATCAGAAACTGCTGGGTTTTTTTTATTTTTCACATTTGGTTGCCCCATATTTTTTAAAAAGTAATGACTCTCTCAACCTCAGCTAGGCAAGGGTGGTACAGCCACTTGATAAATGAGTAGAAAAAAATGTACAGAACTTCAAACTGCCTTAATGAAAGAAACTGAACAGATGAATTTGAGTCTTGTTAATCAGTACGAAATGGTTTTAGGTTTGTATAATTAAATCTGTAGGTTTAAATTCAAGAGATGTACTAAAGAGACCTTCATCAATGGCATCGATGACACAACTAAAATCAAAAGTAATTTTAGCTAACTGACAGAGCTTGTTGGAATGGTTATATGACAGGACTGCTTGTCCCAATTGTTTCTCAGTTTCATGACATCAAGTGTGCATAACATAAGTCATGTTAAGTATTTGGTTTCTTGATAACCACAAGTATAAAACTGTAGTCCTACAAGGCATATGGCTCTAGGCCATTTATTGCACATTGCTAAAAGCATGTCCTGAGTTCAAAAATATGGCAAAAGGGTACAAAGATATGAAGAAGAAAGTAAGAATTTCCAGGACTGTATCTTCAAAGGTAGGCTATGCAAGCCTCTGTCTGTATCTTCAGACAGCTTTGGTTATAATTTGGTTAAGATTTTATCCAATTTATTCTAATGACCTACCCGTTTTATTGTGTTTATGTCTAGCAATAATTTTTAATTAAGAGAAGCAAAATAGTAATGTCAGAATGTTTGCAATAAAAAAGAGTGTGATTTGGTAGTTAGAAGTCAGTAGGGGCAGTGGAGAATCAGTTTCACCCATAGAGCTCTATAAAAATGAGTTACAAAAGAAAAATTCAGTCTTCTAAGTATTTTCATGAGACATACTAAATCTAAACTATTTTTGTTTCTTCAGTTTACAGAACTTTGTAAAAAGAAAGTGATTTCTATTTTTAAAAAAAGGTGAAAGCGAAATTAGTTATTTGTACCATATATTCTCTTCATAAAAGCCTTATAGCAGTATATAAAAATCAATTTAATGTTAGAAGGAATGGGATATATTGTGGAAAAAAAATCTTTTCACGGAAAAGTAAAGCAACTACTTCTCCTTCTGTGCTTTCTCCTGCAAGACAGAGAACATGGAAAATTCTCAGCCTTTCTTAATTGGCCATAAAACACAGAGACTAATGAGGAGAAAATACAAAAGTCTCTATCACATTTTGTGATAGATACCTGTGTATGCAAAGCAGTTGAAAATCCTGAACACTCAGTAGTACCAAATTCTATCCTTTCAGGGGGATTCCACTAATATAGACTTACAGTCTGAGTGTTTTATCTTTCATTATATATTCTTTGCTTCAACAGTATTTTTGACATTTTTTTACATTAAGATATTTTATGAGGCTTTTTTTTTTATTTGCTTTGCTAATACAAAATCAGAGCATTTTTAAACTCCTAGAAACCCACATGCTGCCAAATTGTTGGAAGAATCTTGAGCATTACCAGAACTGGAGTAGCTAACTTTACTAACAGTGCCACCACTTGTCTTTTTGCACAGAGACAGATTATGTTGATTCTATCCTCCTCCTCTGGGACATATTTCTATCTTGAAAATTATGATTGCTTTCTTTTTTGAAGTCACTGTATATATTGATTTCACTCCAGTTTGTATGATGTACTGGCTGAAGATCTGACACAATATATATTCTTACACATGGTTGGGGCATCCAGGAATTTGTGCTAAGATTCAATCTAGTCATTGCATATGTATTCTGTTTCTATTTACTTACATGATTTTATAGAGCATATTTCAAAGGCAGTCTATCCATTTAAATTCCACATAAGTATCCAAATCCATGTAGTTACAGTAAGCAAATATAATGGCTACTAATGACCTTCCCCAGGTTCAGTCTAGGTGGTTTTGGTTATATAATTGGTAAGAGTAATCAGAATCAAATATACATATCAGCCAGCTCTTGGAATCACTGCTACTCTGCAGGAGCAGCCACTAAAAAAAAAAAATAAACTGTACCAACCTGCATGAATGCACATACACTAAAAAAGAGAAAATATCCCCTCAAAAATAAATATATAATCAGATATGAACTGGTTGAGGTAGGCCATTATTTTCAACATGAACCTTTCTCATTTTGTTATTGGACACCTCAATATAGACTAAGAGTTTCTTTAACTACACAAAATAAACATTTTTAGATCAGTAATTTACAGATGATCTTCAAAGAAAAAAAAAAGTTAAAATATGTTGAATGTGCTTAAGAGTCACCGCTTCTGAATCAAACAAAAGATATTTTTTACAAGCTGTCATGCACCCAGACACCCTCTCTGCTACAGGTGCACTGACTTAAGTTGTCCCTTTTTTTTGCTTGAATTTTGAGCATACTCAATGGCCAGAAATCTCAGAGGAAAAATATTATGATGATAATTTATAATAATTTAAATAATAAAATATTTTTTAAAAATTAAATAATTTACATTTTAATTACAAGCTACAAAGTATATATATACAAATACATATACAAAAATATATACAAAGTATATATTTTAATATATGATAACATAGTTTATGAATATTGTAATTAACACTAAAATTAAGTGCTCTTTCTGTGCATAAGCTTTAAAGTCACTGCCCCTGCTTTTACATAGCATATGTGTGTAGTGACTGGAGGCAGCTGGAGGCCACTTACAGAGAGTATGACCTACCAATATATTTAGTAAAACGGTGTATTTCTCTGGATTCTACATAACAGATCTAGCAGCAGCTCCGATCAGCCGGTTCACTGCGGGTGTGTTCATGGCAGAGGCCAGCGGAGGGTGCTGGTGTTACTGTTCTGTGCCGGAGCACGGTGGAAAGGAACCGAGGGTAATGTACTGAGAGTACCGTGTGCCAACGTGAGGTCCTGTGGTTCCCCTCTCAGCGTGGCCTGTGCAAACTCCCACTCGCCACAGCCTCGAAAATCCATGAAGTAGTTAATAATGGTTGACAGTGAGCACGGTCTCCAGTCAGAAAGACAGGGTGTGTTAGCTACGGACGGCGGGAGGTGGGGCAGCAGGAAGGCAACAGCTTCCTTTGAGAAGGAGCCTGCAGCAGAGTGCTCGAAAAAGCTGTATGGTAGGAGTCAGTGGTTTGTCTCTCCTTCAAAGTGTAAGGCTTGAAATATTGGTAGACAAGAGCTTTTCATCAGTCACTGGTCTCAGTCTGTCATGCTAGGGATTTGAGTTTGTCTGAGCTCTGTTTTGAAATATCCCTTTGGAGCTGCACAACAGAGGCTTATGTCCTTTAGCATGGAATCGTAGAATATGCTGAGTTGGAAAGGACCCATCAGGATCACTGAGTCCAACTCCTAGCCCTGCGCAGGACACCCCAGGAATCACAACATGTGCCTGAGAGCATTGTCTTGAACTCAGAGAGGCTTGGTGCTGTGACCACTTCCCTAGGGAGCCTGTTCTAGTGCTCAGCCACCTTCTAGGTGAAAATATTTTTCCTGATATCCAAACTAAACCTCCCCTGACTCAGTCTCATGCCATTTCCTCGAGTCCTGTCACTGGTCACAAGAATGAAGAGATTGGTAACTGTCCCTCCGCTTCCCCCTGTGAGGATGTTGAAGACCACAACAAGGTCTTCTCCAGGCTTTGGCTCCATAGGTGCGTCCTTTGTGGAGAACTTTTGCTTCCCCTGTGATATTGTAGTTTCTTGGCTGTCCTCAGGCAATCCTGATGCCAGCTTTGAAAAGTCACCTTTTAGAGGTTGCAAGGTCATCATGGCTAGGCTTCGCGAACGAAGATTTGGGAAGGGCTCTACCCACGTTTGTTGCAAGCGCGTTGGTGGCTAAAAAGGCCAATACGAGACAGGCATGTCCGGTTGCAAAAGGCACAGCAGAAAGACTCCTTAGATGGTATATTCTGCAAGGCACGATTCTTTCTGCGTTGTCTTTTCTCCTTAAGGGTGATCCTGCGTGCTTTCTCAAAAGCATCAGCAGCGTTACTTGAATCTTTGCTGGTTGGTTTCACAGGCGTGGGACCTCTGCCAGGGAGAAACTTGCTGGAGCCCTCAGCTGCTGCTTTGTTATGTTTGCTGTTTGCCCACAGTCCTAAAGGGAAAGCCTACAACACCAAGAAATCTTTAATACTCACTGAATAAAGTCTGAAGAAATAAACTATTAGGCGTAAGAAGCAGGAGACAATCTCAACAAGGATTAACTTCCAAATACACCTTTTAATCACCTTAGTGTCTCTTGTGTAGTGCTCTCTTTTTGGATGGCACTAGCTTCACCCAGTTTTTTGCTCCTTCCACCAATACCAGTGCCTTTCTTGTGCCTAGCAAGTCAGGCATGCCTACTCCTTTCCTTTCTCCAAGAATCCTTCCTTGTTACTGAGTAGCAGTATTTCTCCTTTATTCAAACACAGCAGGCCCTCATTTAGAGAATTCACTCAGCCAAGCATTACTGGAGATAAGAGAGATCTTCTGTCAATGAAGAGATCCATTTTATCATGCAGGATGTCAGGACCAGCATGAAACCAGACCCTGGGTTTCGTTTGATATGGCTGGGAGTACACACATGGTTAGGCAGCCACCCAGCTCTTGCTTCTTTACCTGCAGGATGGGATGCCCAAGTTGTGGTCTAAAGTTTTCCATTGCTATGTGATCAACTCCCTTAAAGTAAATGCAACAATTTGCATGAACAAAAGCTGATCATGATAGGGCTTATACTTGTATCCTCTGACTTAAAAGACTCAAGCTCTCTTTCCTACCGTCCTTCTCTCATCTGACTCCTTTTGAAATCCTGGTTTCCCTCTCCCTGGTTATTCCTTCTAAGTTGAAAAAAAGACACCCTCAGAGTAAGAAGTGAGGTTACTGAGGCCAGGGTAAGTCCAACAGGCTTCCTCCTCTCGGTCCTGGGTCTGTCTCTGCCACAGCAGGAGCAGCTGAAAGCAGCTGGTTCAGATGCTGGGACAGTAACTAAGTTGTTACTCTATTGAAGCAGTACATGCAACAAATGTTTATGTCTGGTACCAAAAACGAAAAAGCTTGTTCAGTGAAGATAGGATCTTTGGACATACAAATTTCTTGACCTTAGACAAGGCTGAGCTGTCTGTGGGGATTTCTGTTTAAGTCAGTCTGAAAAGCACGAGAAAATTATAGTAAACTGTAGGGAATGTTCAGAAGTCATAGAAACTAGAAAAAATGTTACTGTTAGTGGCAGTGAAATAATAAGGGCAATGTACCTTTAAGTTCTTCTGTATGTATAATGTATATGCTACTAAATATAAGCCCCAATGTTGCAAATACTCAGGCAAAAATATTCCCAAGTTTTGGAGAACACTTAGACACATGAAACATGCAGGGCATGCTGATGAATATCTGGAAATGAGATATTCAAGCAAGCAAGCAAGAAAACTAAGTTAGTCTTGGTCACAGTTTACCATGTAAAATGGATGTTACGCTATGGAAACTCTAAAGGTGTTATTCAGGCAGGAATCATACCAAATAGTTTTCTCTTGAATTCTCCTATCTTTGTATTTTGCTGTCTTTGAATAAGAGGGTTATTTGAAAAATACTGCACTGTCAGGGATGACTTTATGCTATTGTGTTAAATCAGTCTGTTTGTTTTACTTTACTCTGAAGCATACATCCTGTTTTCAAAGTAATGGCACACTTTATGGATATCAGAAACAGCTTGCAGATATTTAAGACCAACCTTTTCATTCCTCCACCACACAGAATGAAAATTGCTGCATAAGTATTGTATCTTTTTCTGCTTACTGAGCTGTAATTTGTCAGTCATATCCTCCCCAATGAGGCTGAATTTAGCAGGCAGCAACAGAATTCTTAGTTGTGTATTCACTATAAGAAACTGATTCTAATTAGTTGAAACTGGCATTTTCCTTGTGAAGAAACATGATCTGCTCCAATTCAGAGCAGAATTGTTGTTAGGAAATCTCCACTGAGTTTCCTATGTGCTTTCTGATTTGCCAGTTGGACAAGCTATATTTTTTTGGTACCTTAATTTTTCTGTTTGTTCTTTTTGTTTGTTTCATAAATCACTAGGACAGGTCTGACAGAGTGGAAATCTGACAAATGAAAAGTGCTGTTGAAACTATTATACCATGATTTTTGAGACTATTTTACTGTGACTGCTGTATATGAACTTTTACTGATGATCTAGAAAAATGGCAGACAGATTTTAACATAACAAAGGAAATGTAAAACTTAATACTGACTGTTGCAATAAAATTCAATGCCTATGAAGACATAGTTATGAACATGTAAACACAGCTCTAGTATTCAGAGCTAGGGAACCTAGCAGCAAAACAAACTATTTGCATATTATATAGTGCAATGAACATTTGTTCTTAGAGACCCCTAGTCTTTAAACTACTTTGAACAGAATGGAATCCTTACAGGAAAGGTTTTAAAAGTGCCCAAGATGTAATAACTGCTTTATGCTCTAGTACTGTTGCAGAAAATAAGCCACAGAAAAACAACTACATTTTGGATAAGGCAAAGTCCTGTTCTAAGTACTAAATAACTGAATTTTATTTACTAATATAGAAGAAGCAGAGGACAGCAGATTTCCCTCACGAAGAACACAATGCTCTCATTTGTTCAAATGCTGTGACTCATTCTTCAGAAGTTAGACTCCCTACTCAGATGATAAAATGTCCAATATCCAGAAAAATCAATAATTTTGTTTAAACTTGGGTCCAACGTTATACACATTTTTCTCCATTATTTTTTTTTCAGCAATTTGATCTCCAGATTTTTTTCAGGCTATATAAACTGTGTACACATAGTAAATAGGGGTTTCCAAATGGCAATTTCATATTGTATTTAATGGCTCTAAAGATGGGTGGGATTGCTGGATCAGATAATTATTTCAAGGGACAAATGTATTAAATACACAAAATCCATGAATAACAGGTATATATTTCAAGCAAAAATAGAGGATTAAGGATCATATATATATATTCTTATTTTGGATAATATCTTTTCTTAAATTGCAAATAAGTATAACCCACGCTGACAGATCTGTGCAACTGTGTAGCTTTGAAAAATCTGTGCTGCTGGAAAACATTCAAATGTTTTTCATGCAGGAAGTTTGAGAGAATCATAAAAGATTCGCAGTTAAAGGCAAACAGGCAAGAGTTTCTCTGAGAAAGAACTCAAGGAATGAGAACTGGTCAATGAGCCATAAAGAGGGTCAGCCCTAAGATCCCAAAAGGTTAATAAAAAGCCTCTTCTGAAAAAAAAGATAAGGAAGGAAGCTAGGATGCAGATAACTGGTATAGTGTTAAAGGCCCTTGTGGGGAAAAGGTAAAGGAGAAGGATGTTAACTATTGATTCAGATGGAATAAGTAGTTACCTGAAAAGGGTTTTGTTAACCTTTCATTTGGAAGTGTAGCTTTTTCAGTTTTAACAGTCTTGCTGTCTCTCCCTCTTGAAAAGCTCAGAAATATGCCTCTGACTGCAGACATATAGGTATATCTGTACTGCTAAATGTGAGAGTGCCAGGGATCTGTCTCATGTACTGAACCCCTGAATACCCCATCTACGTATTAGCTGATTTCTTGCCCGCTCCAAAAGGCTCTTTTCAAGAAAAAGCACAGGAGTGGTCTGGCAACAGTTTACTCCAAGGACCACACTCAAAAGGCAGCCATAAACCAGGACCAAACTTTTTTCTTGGCCCTTTCTGATCTTCCAGAGCTAGCCCAAAGGCTTTGTGACTTCAAATACCTGCACATACCCTGTCACACACTGTGGTATATGACATGTAGCCTTAGTTTTGTGCTTTAACTGAGCCACTGCTGGTCTGCATAACAGTTCACTTTATTTCAAACACTGTGAACAGGGGCAGGGAGGAAGGGGGAAGAATGAAACAAATTGTGTCCTAGGGCTACAGTAACCCAGCAGACATCGTGGGCTAAATGCTATGTGGAGTGGAGATCTAGGGGTTAGTAAT